TTGGTCTGGCAAGATAAAAGGCAACATGAGTTTTACACACATATACTTGTGTCCAAAGAGTAGGTACTTTGCAACAGGTTTTCTGCATTAGATGTTGTTAGATCACCATCTAGAGGACATTTAAAAACACATGCATGTAATTCTAGTGCTTTTAAAAAGTATATAATTTATTATTCTCCACACAGATTACCAACCAGCACAAAATCTGAATTAAGCACAGAAGTTGTAAAAACATTAAATCTTCATTTCCCTTTCAATTGCATCACCCTTATAAAATGTTTTTTTCCAATTTCAGAGTTACTTTGGGCACTATTTGCGAGGCATGGCTACAGATATTATCAGGATGATGCATAATCTTTCACATTAGATTAGGTGATCTTCTTTTGTTATCATTCTATCACAAGTGGACCCATTTCATATTTTCACTTTCCGACTTTGAGCAGAGACATGCTATTACACATTCCCAAAAGCTTTCACACTCTTTTTTATGCTTCAGAATGTTTTAGCTAATTATGAGGCAAAGTCCACAGTGTTTTGGCCTAAAAGGGTATGACTTTGTATGTCAGAAGAACTCTCTGATGTCACAATATAGGACCATGATGCCAGGGAAATTCTGACTCTAGGATAGCTGAAAGGAGTTAAGAACAAAAGTATCTTGAGTTCAGCAAGAGATCTGAGTGAGGAGTAATCCATCTTTGATGGTTTCCTTACAGTGTACCATTTATCTGGTGGCTACATTCCTGGCCACTCCCTGCCTAGTCTTCTCTAATGCTTTCATACCACTGAAAAGCCAGAACATGATTCTCTCAGCCAAGGAAAGACAACAAGAGGGAAACAGTCCATCAGCAGGTGAGAAGGTGTTGAAGTGAAAGGATGAGCAGCAATTGAGAGCAGCAAGAAAAGGATATAAAATAGTGCGTATAGAAGCTTGGTTTTGCAAAGACAAAAGCAGATGAGAAATGAAAAGAGATGTGAAAGGACGGTGGGGACCAGGTGCTCCATAAGGAACAGGAAGCCACCAACCAAGAGTTGTAATACCTGCAGAGCTGAGAGCTGAGCGCTCCCACTCACCAGGGCCCAGTCCTCACAGCCCCACAGCAGGAGCAGCAGGGCCATTAGTACAGACCTGGGAAGGGGTCAGCAGGCAAGTCCATCATGATAGGGCAGGTCTGTATTCCAGCAGAAATCTTAGTCATTGTCAGGTTCAGACTCAATGACAGTAACTAAGGTCAAGCACAGCCTCACCCTACGCTTAAACCAGACAGAAGATGTGGGAGTAAGTAGAAGCTTAGGCAAGCCAGGAACATTAAAGCTTCTTAGTTTACTCATGACTCTGACTGAAGCCTCCATTCTCAGCAGGCCCCATCACACCTAAAGAGATCAGTACCCGGCAACCACACTTTTCCATCATGAGGCATCATAGGCCCATTTCCATATTGTTCATCTTAGGGCATTAGAAGGTCCAAGCTAACATTCAGCAAGTTCCAGCTGCTTTTTAAGGGATAAGGAGCCAGCAGGTGAGCATTTACTCAGTAAGGCAAGAAAGGCAGGGCTGGGGATGGTGTTCAGGATCTGTCAAGAATAAAGACCATTAGGCGAGTCCATGATTTTGAGGCAGTTAAAGGTAAAGCCAGGGATGAAAGTAACCTGGGTTATCTTGTCTAGTGACTACTAGGCAAGTCTGTAGTGATAAGGCACTTAATCCGAGAATAAATCAAGTCAATCTGTAGGTTAGGAGCCAGAATAACATGTAAAAGACTTCATCCAGTAGTTCTTCTAGTGCCTTGCTTCTTTGTACTTAAGTTCCATTGGTAAAATAGCAAGGGTGGTCTCCCTTTCCTGGATGATCAGTTACTACTCTGCAGCAATTGCATGCATTACAGAGGGCAAAGAAAGAGAAGTTTTAGTGAGGTTTACACAACTCGTTTCCACACACATCAAGGAACCACACTTGGGAATTGTAAAAACAGTAGGGGGGGGCAGGGGTGAGCACTGAGGAGCACACTGAGTGGAGTAACCCAACAAAAGGACAAGGGAAGCTAATAGACTGGGAAGGGCTGTGAATAAAAAGCTGCCAGGTATGAAGGAGAGAATGTATAGATAGTGACAGTGAAATGAATGCTTGCTCTAGAGTTTAGAAAGCAGGGAGAAGAGGTAGAGTTCAAAACAAAGTTTATGTTGACCACACCCATCTCTGGCTGCAGGCTGGGAGAAGATGGAAGAAACATTTGTGGCCTCTTCTACAGGAGAAGGAATGGAATTAATCAATATGGTGCAGCAGGAGGACTCTCAGAGAATGAAGAATTCAGCAGTGAATAATCTTCTCTTGTATCTGGCCCTTTCCTTGAACATCAGCATCATGGTCCTGTTTTTTTAATTTGTGACATAAAGAGTAAAAGTCATGGATGATGGCAATTTGAACATCTACTTGTGTTTCATGATCACATACTAGGCAGCAAGGCTTTTTTTCAACATCTACATCCCAGTGAACCTGCAAACACTAAGAACAGGGATCTTGTGCTTACTGAAAGTAAGCACATATTGAAAGTGCTTTTTCTTCCTCCTCCCCTTGAAAAGTACGATAAATTCAGCATACAGCTCATGCAATTTTTTCTCCCTTCCTGCACTTCCCACATACTTTTCAATTGTGAGATGAACAGCCTCACACTACGCTGGCTGAGGAACTGGCTCAATGGTAGAGCTCAAGCAATTGCTGTAAGAATTAGCCTTTGTACAAATCTTTGTATGTGCATCCTAAGGCACATGCGAGACAATGAGGTGATCCAAGACAACCAGTATTGCTTCATCTAGGGCAGATTGTGCCTGACCAATCTGTTGGCTTTCTACAATGAATTGATGGCTTCAGTGGACAAAAGAAAGGCAACCAGTGTTGTCTACCTGGACTTGTGCAAGGCCTCTGACATCATCTTACATCATATCCTTATCTCTGAGTTGGAAAGTTTTGAATTTGAAGGCCAGACTATTCTGTGGATAAAGAATTGGTTGGATGGTCATAGCCAGAGGGTAGTTGTCAAAAGCTCCATGTCTTGGCAGAGGCTGATCACAAATGGTGTCCCTAGGGAGTCTGTCTTGGGACTGGTGTTCTTTAACATCTTTGTCAGTGACATAGATGATGGGATTGAGTGCATCCTCAACAAATTGGCAGATGATACCAAATCTGGACAGGCTCAAAAAGTGGGCCTAATTAACCTACTGAGTTTCAACAAAGCCAAGTACATGATGTTGCACTTGCATCCAGGCAATCCTAGGTATGTATGCAGGCTGTGAGAATAAATCCTTAGAGAAGCCATCTATGTATGTGTATCCTTAGAAATAGCAAATATGTACTTTTATCTTTGTCAGGTTGACCACCCTTGAAACTGCGAAAGTGATTAAAAGGGTATCTCCTAATCACAATGCCACAACTAAATTTGTCTTTGAAGACAGGAGGATCTTGAAAAAACATGCAGTTAATTAGCAAGTCTAGCTAGCCTGCAAGTAGTGAGATTATCCCTATCTTATCCCTTATCTTATCCCTAGTGATAAGAATATGCATAAAAAAACCATTGTGAAAATCCTGGAGTGTGCTAGTCTTGTTAAAGACCATCTAGCACCCAAACTTGCATAACTTTGCAATAAATGAATATCTTGTCTATGTGTGTGAGACTGGCTTATAGCACACCAAGTAACATATCTGTCTTTCAGACAACAGAACTGTAGTGCATGGGGTTACATCTGTCTCATGGACAGTCAGCAGCAGTGTTTTCCAGGAGGGCCCAGTTCTAAGTTCACTCCTGTTCAACATTTGTATCAACGATCTAGAAACAGCATGTTTGCTGATGATACTAGACTGAGGGCTGCTGTTGTTGAGGGGACAAGAAGCCTTACAGAAGGATCTAGATAGATTGGAGCATTGGGCACTCACTAATAGTATAAATTTCAATAAAGAAAGATGCCAAGTTCAACATCTGGGAAAGAGTAATGCAAGGTACAGGTACAGACTAGGAGATGAGTGGTTGGATAGCAGCTCATCAGAAAGGGATCGGGAGTGCTGATCACCGTCAGGCTTGACATGAGCCAACAGCATGCCTTAGCTGCCAAACCACATTTTGGAGTACATTCAGCACAGCACAGCCAGCTGGTTAAAAGAGGCAATTCTATATTTAGTGCTGGTGCAACCTCGACTTGAATACTGTGTGCAGTTCTGTGCTCCACAATACAGAGGGAATGTTGAAACACTTGATATTAGAGCAAATGAGGTCATCAAAGCTAGTAAAAGGGCTTGAAGGCATGTCCTGTAAGTATGCTGGGGTTGTCCAGTTTGGTGATGAGGAGGCCAAGAGGCAAACTCTTTGTGACTCTCTATAATCTCCTCAGCAGCAGAAGCAGAGGGAAGTGGCCAGCTTTTCTTGCTGGAAACAGATGGCAGTACACAAAGGAATAGCACAATAATGTAACAGGGAAGGTTCAGACTGGATATTAGGGACAAATTATATAACATGAGGGTGGTCAAAACACTGGAACAGGTTTCCTAGTGAGTTGAGTCATGCCCCATGCCTGTTAGTGTTCAAGAGACATTTGAACAATGTCCTTGTTAATATTCTTTAACTTTTAGCTAGCTATGAGATGGTCAGGAAATTGAGCGAGATGATCTTTGAAGGTCCTTTCCAACTCTCCTCTCCTCTCCTCTCCTCTCCTCTCCTCTCCTCTCCTCTCCTCTCCTCTCCTCTCCTCTCCTCTCCTCTCCTCTCCTCTCCTCTCCTCTCCTCTCCTCTCCTCTCCTCTCCTCTCCTCTCCTCTCCTCTCCTCTCCTCTCCACCTCAAGATAAATAAGGATTGAACTCACCAGCTTCAATAGTGACCCTATCTTTGAAAGACCCATAAATTCATCATACATGTTAGAAAGAAGGAAAACAATGCATATTCCAGAGAATTGTTACCCACACACCCTTAACAAGATAGATACAACAAATAAAAAACTTATCAAGTTGCAGACTGTCTCTTTTTCTATACATTTTAAACAAATAAGTCCAGTGAAATAAGTGCTGTAATACCAAAGATGCATAGTATAATGTTACATACATTTGGTTATTATAACAATGAAAGAAAGACCAAATGTTCTGAACATGCTGATAGGACAAAGTTGATTAAACAAGTGAAGAGAGAGTATACAATGTTTAAAAGGTAAAGATTTTTAAAAATACCCTAATTTTCTGTTTTCTTTTTGTTTTGTTTGTTTGATTGTTTTTACACTGTTTAAATAAATCCTATTATCATAATGTAATATTATCTACTATTTGTGAATTTCAGCTATGTACTGTGTTCATGAAGAGAACAGACCAAATAAAGATACAGACTAGGCCGTAAACAGTTTGTAATCAAAGGGATATATATATTTTTTAATTCTTTTGAGAGGGGAGGAGGGATTTTTTTGTTATTCTTTTTTGTTTTGTTTGAAAGCAAATGTTTTATTAACATGTTAGTCTGTAAATTAATGAAAAAATCTCTGAACAGTTCATTCTTGGAAAATATTTTGCTGCATTGGTCAGTGTGTGAAGATTAACACTTTTACTGGGCTTTTCACAATGTAGTACTTACGTTGATAAGGGCCATTTCCACTTGCCCTCATCTATTCCACAAACAATACCCAGGCATTCAATATAATAAGTAAAATAAACAGAACAGTTCTAACAGTATGCAAAATGTGGGGTAGTTTTGAATGCTTCTTGATTGGGGGAAATTTTAAAAATTGAATTGATATAATTATTAGGTTGCTCTTGAGAATGTATTTTATGCACATCTCCTGCTACCCTAAAATATATTATTTCTTAACTCTCCTTTTTCTCCAAAGTAAACTATTACATAAAATTCAGTTTCAAGTAGTTATTAAATCATATGTCAGATAAACTTCTCTGTTTGGATGGTAAATATTTACAAATGTAGGGATGTGAAAGCCTGGTTCAGGATCCAGAGAATTTGGAATATTCAAGTTAATGATCTCCAGATACCTCTAGAAAAGCCTTGTGACTACCTCATACTTCATGTTTATCCATATCCTCAACCCTAAAGAGAGAGTAAGAATAAAAGAGGAATCTTTCTGGAAAAGACAGAAAGAAGAAAATGAAACAATTTTCAACTCCCAGTCCCACTTCCGTCAACGAGGATGTTTCCTTGTGAAATGCATGAATAACCTTCATTATTAAGTGACTCATCTTCAACCTAGAAACTGGAACCACTAATTTTTCCTTACAACTTCTCTCCATTTATCTGCTGAAGAAGAGAAGAGGACTCTTCTCTCACTGGTAACTTACTTGTGTGGTTTCCATGTAACCCGAAGAAATTTTCTAAGATGCAATCTCGTATGAACAAGTCTTAGGACTCTGGCATATTGTCCTGCCCATTCAACATGATGGTGATGTTGTTGCAGTGGACAGGGAAATACACTGAACAGCAGGCCTAATGATGCAACAGTCTTTCTGTTAACAACTCCTGAGAAGCTACCTAGTAGGGAGTGGCTAGTCATCTTGTTACCTTAGGACACGCTGAACTACAGAGTTGTCCCATCTGAGACAGTGCTGGGAGCAGCAGGAAGAGACACTTTTCTCATATGAGCTCAATTTGAGATGATTCCTATCATAAACTGCTGGGAAATGGATAACAAGAAGAGGAAGGTAGAAGAGGAAATAAATGCTCCACATCACTCCACTGGCCCTGAGTATGACCCATGAATCATACTTTCACAGCTCAAGATTTCATCTCCCTGGGGTCGTGTCTCTCATCCTCCTTTTTCAAACAAATTACCAGATTTGGCACTTGCTGTCTGGATTCATTGGTGATCTACGGGGACAATGGAAGTGTTTTACAAAGTCCTGATTATTGCTGACAGGTCCATAGACACGAAGTGGCAAGGGACTATGTGGATCTGTATCCAAGGAAGACTGTAAATCCTCAGGATCCTGGTGTCCACACATTGCCTGAAGAGAAGCAAAACAGAAAAGTAAGTCTATGCAAAAGTGCTCATGTAAATAAGTCATAAAGCTCTTCTGCATATTCCACATGACTGGGACTGCTGAAGTAGACAAGGAAAAGCTTTCGTGGATGCCAACAGTATTAATACCCTTTGCTTTTGAACTTTAGTTTCTTATCCCTTTCCCTCCACTCTGTCCCAGTTTCCCTATCTGATCAGGCACTTGCGTTTTTCTTTATGCCATGTAGTCCACAACACAACAAATTTAGACCATCTTGGACTTCAGGCTTATGTAACCTTGGACTCCATCTACTGTGGTAGTATAGGTGTAGCCCTCAGTGTTCAGGTTCAGCTTATTAACAAAAATAAATTAATGATCATTAAGAAAGGGAAGTATTTAACATCACATTACTGTGAGAGAAATTGGGAAGAAGGTTATGTGGCTTTACTGGTGTTACAGTTGAAGTTCTTCATTCTTGTGATTCCTGTCCTTATTCATTGAGAAATGATCCAGTCGCTTGTCAGATCACCTCTGAAATACAGTTCTTGGTACTGAGACCCAATTATTTGTGATTTTAGAACTGCATTACTGCTTTTCTGCATACTGCCCTGACCTGATGCTAATACATACACAGAACTTTTCTTTACACAGTCACAGCGACTAATAAGGATGAGAATTTTCTGAGTGCAGAAATCCAAAATCCTATGTTGATAAACTCAGCTTCACAACTATGTACAATGGCACAAATCCTTAAACTATATTCCCACAGAAATCTTCAGCTAAGTGTATGTGTATTTCTAGTTCTTTAAGAAGCATTCTGATTATTTTTTTCTATCAATCACTCAGAATTACTGTATATCACAACAAAGAGGTGGATGGAACAAGAGACAGAGGAATATGTGACTTTTCCACTAAAGTTTCTCTTTCCATTCATATGATTTCTCACAGCAGGAAAAAAAAAAAAAAAGTATTTAGTGTCTGACAGTGAAGTCAGCTTACTCTGACAACTGGTTTGCTACAACTTAACATTGGTAGATTTCAGAGATTTATGATGGTATATTCATAGAAAGGCCTCTTGTTTGCTTTGAGATCCACAACAAATTAGGAGACCTGAAAATGAATTTTAGCTTTCAAAATAAGATGCTGAACCTTCCAACAACATCCATCATATCCAGTTCTTCAAAGAGTAGGGAGAAAGGATTGAATATTGAGAGAGAAGAGCTGTAATAATGCAGAAGACAATGGAGAATGAGAGAGATACATGACTAGCCTAGAATTCATTACATGAGCAAAACTGAGGTAGAAAAGCTGGTCATGTGAAAGTCCGATCTTCGGTAAATACTCCTCTTGTTTATGCTTTTTCAGCCAATTCTTATAGGCCTGTGAAGAGAAAAAACTTATAAACTTCCTTTCAGTCAGTAACCCAGAAACATATCTTCTTTCAATTATACACATCAATCTAATATATATTTAATACATTTAGCATGTTTGTATCTCTGCTCACCCTGAGATGCCTTGCTCTTGCTAAACCCCTAATATCTGTAAGAAGGGAGAAGAGCAACATCAACTCCTCTGCTTCCCTTTTCAGACACTACTACACACAACTGATCAGAAGAGGAGGTTAATGACTATGCTATGAAAAAGAAAAAAGAAAATGATTTACAAAGAAAGAAATACTTATGTGAATAAAAAAATTTTAAATGTTTCTATGGACACCACCAAAATTCCTTGACCCTCTCAAAATTCTTCATGTAACATTGTAATAGGTACCATCTGATACCTAGAGAACTCAGATCACCCCACACTCAATAATTAATTAAATCTCTCAAATCCTACATGAAGGAGTTCTAGACAGAAGTATTGCTGAAAAATGTTACTATGAATATTATTAATATCATATTACATTATATTCTAGTTCATGTCTCAGCTTAGGTATAACATAAGCATATAGTAATCCAATATAAAATAATAACTCGCTTTTGTAAGTGTGATCTAACTGGGGAAGTAAGAAAAAAGGCTGTCCCCAGAATAGGTGAAGGGAAGAAATGGTTTTATATGGTGGTAGTGAGGTTACAAGCACAATTCTGTGGAAAGCCTACAGTTTAAACAGCAGGGGAAATGCAAAGCACTGCTTTGCTGGCACAGGCTTGCAAAAAATCCTGGAATGGAGCACCAGAGTCAGGTTTATGACTTGTTAGTTGAGCCATCTGGTAGACTTCATGGTCATAGAAGTGAAATCAGAGAAGTAAGTAGACTAGAATACCTGGTAAGCAATGGCAAGACCTCCAGTGTCTGCTGTATTCTCCAACAGTGTGGAAGTACCACTGACCTTAAAGCCAAAACTTTCATACTGTTCTACCAAGCAATCTATAGATTTCTGTAGCACACTACTGTTGCATGTAGGACAGCCACCAGGATGCACTGTGGGGGGAAAAAGAATCCTAAGTTAAGGTATTTCTGATGCTCACTTCTACCCCTCACAGAGTTTTCTTAGCAGTCCATTTGATATTGTATGGGCAAGCTTCACTTGCTTTAATAATGTATGTACACATGAATACAAGGAATAGGATTTAAGATCTCTTGAGGTAAACTGCTAGTGGGGTCCAGAAGAGTAAACAAAGAAGATAAGCTTCACCCAACGGCTGGTACTTACTATAATCATAAAATACGTGAAGAAGTTCATGTGCCATGAAGACCCCAATGGCTCCAAAGTTCACAGCACTGAAAAATAAACATAAAAAGAGTGGTTTTGAAAAGAAAAGAAAGACAGTTGAGAATTCTTTATAACCTATTCTACTTCAAGAGCACTCAGAAACATTTTCTACTTACTGTCTTCCAGGTGTGGTACTCTGTAAAATTTGTATGGAGCAAATAATCTTGGATGAGATCGTACAGCATGTGTGTGGTGTCCAGGGGATCAGACCCAGCCAGCACGGGTTCATGAAAGGCAGGTTGTGCTTGACCAACCTCATCTCCTTCTATGACTGGGTGACTAGACTGGTAGATGAGGGAAGGGCTGTTGTTGTGGTCTACCTAGACTTCAGCAAAGCCTTTGACACTGGAAACTGGCTGCCTATGGCCTGGACAGGTAAGGAACTGGCTAGAGGGCCGTGCCCAGCAGGTAGTGGTTAAGTCCAGCTGGCAACCTGTTTAAAGTGGTGTCCCCCAGGGGTTGGTACTGGGGCCCATCTTGTTTAGTATCTTGATGACCTAAATGAGGGGATTGAGTGTACTCTCAGTAAGTTTGCAGATGACACCAAGCTGGGAGGTAGTGTTGATCTGAGGGTAGGGAAGCCCTTCAGAGGGATCTGGATATGCTGGATTGCTGGGCTGAGGTGAATGGGATGAGGTTCAACAAGGCCAAGTGTCAGGTCCTGCACTTTGGGCACACAACAACCTCATGCAGTGTTATAGGCTTGGGTATGAGTGGCTGGACGACTATTTCTAATGCAGACCAGGATGCCATTGGCCTTCTTGACCACCTGAGCACACTGCTGTTCAGCTAGCTGTCAACTAACACTTCTAGATCTTTTTCCTCCAGACAGCTTGAGAGCCACTCTGCTCCAAGCCTGTAGCATTGCATGGAGCTGCTGTGACAAAACTTCAGGTCCTGACACTTGTTGAACTTCATCCCACAGGCCTCAGCCCATCAATCCAACTTGTCCCAATCTCTCAATAGGGCCCTCCTACCCTCACAGAGCAGAACTGTCAAACCATTTCTATCTGGCTTCAGAAAATAACTGTTTTTCCCCTCATCTGGAATGCTCTAAGAAAGAGAGATTAAGGGCAGATCTGCTGATATTCTTCCTGGAAACATGGTGTAGTAAAAGGACTACATTCAGCTTCACTTTTGCATACTCTCCATACCTGGGAAACTCCACGTGGAAAAAAGGGCTGCGGAACATTCCAGCAGGAAAGACCACCATGTGGTGCCCTATTGAGTAGTATGAATGGACAGCCCAGGGGGCCACCTGCCAGCTAGAAGCAGAAAAAGAGAAATGAGAGAATGTACTGACTCTTTACCTGATGGATTGCTCTTATTCTCCATTGCAGAAACAGTTCACTCATTACAACAGTTGGTACAGCACAGGAGAAGGATGAAATTCACATTATGTAGAGTTAAGGGTATGTGATATAAACCTTAGCTTATGTAGAGTTAGTCAGAGCTATGAGCATAACTTTCACTCACATTAAGGGATTCCTCTTCACGATTTCATCTGTCAAATAAGTCAAGATTATTAACCTCCTATGATGACCAACACTAAAAATGTAAGATTCCCAGTATACTCAGTTCCATTGCCTGCCTTCAGAAGCATCCATGTCCTTCCTTTAAGATCTCTCCACCAATACTCACATCAAGTCAGTGCTTTTCTGTCAGTTAGCGAAGCCCAAGAACACCATTTCTCTTTATCGAGGGTTTATGACAGTGGGCAGAAAAATCCCTCTCTCAGGAGTCTGAGACTGTTCTCCACAACAGTGATGTTTTTGATAGAACAAGATAGGTGAAAATACAAGACAATGCTTATTTTTAATATATGCATACTCTTGCAGAAAAAAAACTGCAGCATCTTGTCCTTAGGATTAGGAGGTGTCATCAGTAAGTTAGGAGAGATGATTATGGCCTTCAGTTCAGGACTAATTAAATATTAGCTGTTACTACTGTGTCCAGTTCTGCCCATGTCCCCTTCACCCTCAGTAGAAAAAGATACAGAAATACAGCTAGACACAGTCCTGAGTGACATATTTCATTTGAACCTGTTTTGACTGGGAGGATTGATGTGGAAATCACCACAAGTATATTCCACAAGTACATTATTCTGATTATTTTTCATTTCAGTACTTACATATCTTGTACACTTACGTATCTTGTGAATTATGCTGAAGGAACTTTGAGAATGAATTCTCCCTCATCATCTTCAAGCAAGCCACCACATTTAGGAAAAAAGTGTCTTCATTTATCTCCAGCTAAGGAAAGAGTAGAGAAATGTCACCATCACACGGAGTGATCGAGTAATGAATTGGATAGTATGAGTGAGAGGAAAATTCCACAGGCAAAAAAAAAATTGTTCATCAAAAGATTGAACACCTATTGTGTGTTTCTTCATTTGTTTTCCTTCTTCTGGTTCTAAAAATACTTCACTTTAAGATGTGACAGGAACATTATCTGTCACCGAACAGAACATGCAAGCAGATCACAATCAAGAGGAGACAACACAGGCATGACAGTGTAGAAGTAATAGATACTGGTTAATTGGATTCATTCTCAGAAAGAGAGCAATATGATATTTGCATTGATTCAGAAGTCATGAACTCTTGGTAGCAGGCAAAATATCAGCCAATACAGGTAAACTGCTGGTAAGAGGCAAACAGATATATTTTATAGCTCACATTCTGGTATTCCTTGTTCACTTTGGCAGTCTGGAGTATGTAAGTTGGATAGCCAATTTCCACTTGTAGTTTGGACACCTGAAATCATAACAACCAACAAAACAAAACAAAACAAACAAACAAACAAAACAAAACAAAACAAAACAAAACAAAACAAAAAAAGAAGCATGACCAGCAACAGGTTCTACATTCTGGTAATTCTTTATGAACTATTTCTAAGCAACAAAACTATGATCTTGTTAATCAGTCCTTTACAAAAACAACCACTCTATTTAAACAAGACACCTCATCTCCTCTTGCTATTCTGTTTTCTTCACTCAGGGACCTATGCCCTAGTATTGTGCTTTTTTCTTTTTTCTTTTTTTTTTTTTCTTTTTCTTTTTTAATAACATTTTCTTCAATTCAGTTTGTAGTTTTTAAATTCTATAGATATATAAAACTAAAGGTACAATGTACCTCATTACAGTTAATTCACGGCATCCATAGATCTTTGCCTATGTGTCAGTGTATGATCACACATGCTTGATAGCACTTAAAAAACTACATAGTTTCTGGTGTGTGGATAAGGTGATGGACAGGATGGCCTCAGTAAATTCTGCCTTGTGCACTCACCAAGATTTTAGCTTCCTGGCGAGTTTGTTCATCCATCCACTCCAGCTGATCCAGTTGACCACAGAGGGTATCTTGGATCTCAGAGAACATCTGCTCAGCCTGCAATGGAGAATAGTAGGCAGTCACAGGTGCAGAAACACATTGTTCAGGCCTGCCTACTGTCTTCCTATGATCCAGCAATTCAACTACAATACAGTAGTTCTCTTGATGAAAAGGGAAATAGTAGTTTCCACATCTATTTAGATCTGGGTTTCATAGGCATCCAGTAGTTCTTCACAGGTCTCACAATTCTTTCCCACTCCCCTTTTCCTCTTGCCTATCACTGTAAATAAGAGTCTCATAATCCCTTTTTGTTCAATCGCTACTGACATGGGAATGGATAAAATAATTGTCCCAGTTCTATAGTGACAGGAAAATCCAATATTTGTGAGTATTTCACATTGGTGTCTCCCTTTCTAAATGTCTGGAGAGTCTGAATCTCTCCTTCACAAAATTATTATGCTTTGTTCATCTAGCTTTGGGCTTCAATACAGTCTTAGTTTTTCACTGTCTTTTCTTGGAGTTGTTTACCCTTCTCATTGCAAACTCTTTATAAAACATGGTGCCTATACTAACTACCCATTTCCCTCTCCCCTGCCCCCCCCAAAAAAGAGAAATTTGGTCATCAAAGGAAAAAAAAAAACAAAACAAAGAAAAGCTTTTTCAACAGTGCAGGGAGGTGTTCCATTTACTGTGGTTCCATTCAGAATCTTTTGTCATTGAATTTTTTTTCTGTTACAACTGCTCATAAACACTGTGTAGCCTTGGCTCACATACCATCTGCTTATTGGCTTTATAACTGAAAATCTTGCTTTAAAGATTCAGGATTTATGATGCATAGTGTTGATACTGTCATCTCAGTTAAGCACTCTGAAACTGCATGTATTTGTAGGGTTTCCATATGTATTTGTGCTGTACACATGATTTTGTTAACAGATGAGATAAAGGTAATAATGTTGTTTATTCTAGCAATGACAGTGCCCTTGTTCTGATCCTGTTTGTCTATGAGGAGGGGAAATAAGTAACCACATGATATATAAAAAGGTATGAAACCTACACATGAGCTTCCTGCTTGGATGTGTTGCTTAGTTGTTGGGATTTAAAAAAAAGAAAAAAAAGGGATGAAGCTGGGCTCTACTTGGGATTAAGATGATGAATACCTACAAGTTTCTTGTTCTGCTCAGGGAAAATTTCTTTCACAATCATCTGCCCTAGGACTGGCTCAAAGAAGGAACTGGTATCAGTCAGACACTTCCTCCAGCGCTCATCTGGGATCTGTAAGAATAGAAAAAGTAATCAAGACATATGAGAGTGAAGAGGAAGAGACAAGAAGATGAAGATGGTAAAAAGATATGTGAACACACAGTCACTAACTTATACATAGCTATCTAAAAATGACGGCTGTGGATGTAACGTAACCCCTTTCAAGCTACTTCAGGAAACTTCAACTCAGTAAAGCACTGTGTTACTTACAATACTCAACTTCACACAAGATGAATACTCATATTCTAGCTGTGACAAAAACATAGAAGAAGGTGGTTAGCTATATGTTGTTTCCTATCCCATGGTACAATGCAATTAGCTCTCTAAAGTTTTGTATATCACATCAACTTTCACAACTTTTTGAGAAACATAGAATCATAGAATCATATAAAGGTTGGAAAAAACCTCTAAGATTATCCACCTACCACCTACCACCAACATAAAGCATTTATTGGCCTAGTGAGTATTGTTTTCCTTGTCAAATCATAGAATCATCACAGAATCATAGAATTGTTTGAGGTGAAAGGAACATTTAAGATCATCTAGTCTAACTTTCCTGCAATGAACAGAGACATCTGTAGTTAAATCAGGTTGCTCAGAGCCTGGTCCAGCCTGACCTTGAATGTCTCCAAGGACAGAATATCCACCACATCTTTGGGTAACCTGTTCCAGTGCCTCACCATCCTTATTGAAAAAAATTCTTCCTTACGTCCTGTCTAAATCTCTCCTGTTCTATTCTGAAAACATTTCATAGAATCCTAGAATCACCTAGGTTGGAAAAACCTCCAAGATCATCTAGTCCAACCATCCACCTACCACTAATATACCTCCACTAACCCATGTAGTACCACATCTGAATGTTTCTTGAACATCTTCAGGAAGGACAGTTTCCCAGAGGGAAAAATGTTTATTAACTTTCTGAAGGGTTGGAATTTGGCTGTCTAATTTTACTCTTTGCTTGTGTGATATCCCTCAAGAGTGCAATAGCCAGAATTGCAAGGTCACTACTCCCCAGGCAACCTCCAATCCTGATGTCACCAATCAGTTTACTGGTGTTAGTGAACAATAGATCCAGCACTGCATCTCCCCAATAGAGTTATCTATTGGTTTAGAAAGTTTTCCTTGATAAGGAAAACTCAGGAGCCACCTGGATTGCCTTCAGCTCACCATGCTACTTTTTCAGAAGATGTTAGTATGGTTCAGTCCTCTAACAGGACAAGAGCCTGTGAACTCGACACCTCCTGTAGCTAGAGGAAGAAGGCTTCATTAAAAGGCTTCTCTTGATCTTGCAGGCTGTAGTGCACACCAAATCTAAGGAGCTCTATCCAGGTGAGATATCAAGAGAACATCCAGAATGTGTGTCTTAGTTTATTCAGTAGCTGTAGAAGCTGAAGAAGATGGCTAAATATTAACTCACCACTTTGAATTCCGTTTTCCCATAAAGAATCTTAGATAGCTCCTCACGTGCATCTTGGAATCGACTATCAAGGGCAGGGGAGAGATTCCCAACCAGACAAACAATCATATAGATATGCGGAACCCTGTAGGAAAATGGCACTTTAAAAGACCAATACAGAGAACCACTTTGATTCACATTAAGATGAAGTCACCTCCTGGCTAGATGAAGTCAAATTTTTGAGCAGTAATTCCATTAGAACATTAGGAAATGAGCAGAAGCCAATCAGTTCTGAACAGCAAGCAGTATTCAGTTTTATGAACTGAATATTCAAATATGAATAGAAGCAGGCAGAATACCATACAAAACACATTGGAAGTGCCAGAAAGCCATGAATAAGAGAACAAGGTTGATACGATGAGGTTTTTTTTCAGCAATAGTCAGATTGTCATGTTATGAGGTTGTCATAAACAAAGAGGTATAGCAAGTGCCAGAGGAACCATTTGAAGCAGAGGAAACCTGGTAGCTTGAATGATAGTAACACAATATTCTGAAGGGTCTACTGCTGGGTCTATCAAAAGGGGGATGAATTCCTCATTGACTTTCCTATGAAACCCACTAACATGAGTCGACCAAAGAAACACCCCCAAGAACACTCTGAAGACTCAAGGGGTAATTAACTTCAAGGGTATAGGACTAATTATGGGAGGAAGGGAAAAAAGAATTTTAGCACTAGGTAAAACATGTTATGGAATATATCAAAGAGACTGGAGGATTCTAGAGATTTATTATGGGATGTTTATAAGAATGACCAGAGGCAGCGAAAGAGAGAGATGATGGACTAGGAGAAACGTGCATGGTAACATTGAGGGGAAAGTTGGTAAGAGGGAATGGTTGAGTGTAGACTTTTGGCTTGCCAGGATGTTTGTCTCACTGAACCCTGTGTGTGGTCACCAGAGTCCGTCTCATCTCATTAAATGCTATTCTTAAATATTTTCTGGGTATGTACTCTCTCTCCTTTGGGGTGGGAGTGTGGCAGGGATGGAACTGGATTCTGAAGAAAGAAAGTGTCTGAGAATTGGCTGTTGAAAAAACCAACAGTATGTGCAACCTACTGAAGAGATCTGTTTGTATATACATGTTTGCTGCAAGAACATACATGAGTACCTGCAACCAGAGTCCCAATGGATCATATCTGAAGGTACCAATAAATGCAGAGATCAGGCAACCTGAGGCCAGCTACTGGAGTGACTGAATGTCTAAGATCAGCTACTGTAGTGGTCCATATTGTATTTGTACCCGTATGTATACTTATATGTATTTCACTACTAACCATAAATATTAATTCTTACCTTTCTTTGTGCCATTCTTCAATGATCTGTGACATGCCTCTTAAATAATCCATATCATGCACTGCAATTGGCTGAGAGAGATTAATTGGCATAGGATGGAAGACAGCCTGGAGACATGACAACCAGTCAATAGCAGGTGCCTTTTCCTGAAGGTAAAACAAAGCTTATGTGGCAAACCACCAGTTTAAATCAACTGACAAGAAATAACAGGAAAACTAGGATTGTCCCTTTGATACATAAAAGAGAGAACTCCAATGAATTGAGTTGTTTTACGCTACGGATATTGATTATTGTAGAGAAGAAGAATAACATATATTTATTTTATTAAATCAGTATAAAGTTCTGTGGACAGAAAAGTCCAACTGCTATCAAAAAATAGACAGCAAATTAACAGGTTATTTAAACTTCAACAGACTCCAAGGGTAAGTTGCAAGGAAATGGTATCTAAACAATGTATTTTGTATCTGTTTTGATCTGGACCTTCAGAATGTGAATGTCATAATATAATTGTGTTTCTTAAGTTCTAAGGCACAGATAGATACCTGTAACTCCCTAATGGTAGTGCGAAAGAACAGCATTCCCCTCTGCCGTCTTTCCTGCAGGGGGGTGACAACACGCTGGAGATTGGAGATGAAGGACAAGGTAAGGGAAAAGGAATGAGGAGGACCATCTTGTAGACCTCCAAGTAGTTCCCCCAGTTTCTCCAAATATGAGAGATAGACACGGAGAACCTGCAATACATATGAGCATATGATCACAGGGAGAGACGTGACCAAAAGTAAGTCAGTCCATCCATTCACCCATCCATCCTGACCACAGGATTTTAAAAACACAATAGTCCTGTCCAAAAATTTATCAAACACAGCTCCCTTTTCAGTGAAGAACAAGGTGATTCCAAAAGGAAATAATCTTAATTTTTCTTCCAATTAACTATTTCTTCAGATACCAAAATCAGTTTAGAGCTATCTTTGGACTCAAAAGAGAGACTTGTAATAGATAGTGACATGATAAGTCAGAATTTTGGATGGAGAGGAAATGGTAGCATTGCTTCTGTGGTCATGAGCTATGACAGGAATGCTTGCATATGGCCTTATTTTCTGAGAACTATTCTGAAAGATACAGACAGAGAAACTGAAATCAGCTCTGTTTTTATGCAGAAAAATGAGCTCAGTTCAGACAAATTGTAATTATGATGAAATTAACTTTGTTACAATAACTCCTAAGGTCAAAGACCTTGTTTCCCCAATTTTGGTTAAAATACTTCAAAATAACTTGAAAATGCTAGCAATCACTCCCCAGGTCCAGAGATTTTAATGGGTTATAAAGCCTTCACTTTGAACAATTTTTTTTTTTTTAAACATTCTGCAAGGTGAAACATAGAGTTTCATACTACCTAAAAAATACAAAAGAAAAAAATTATAATCTTTTCTTTCTACACTAACATTTTTAATTCTGGCATCTAAAAATTGGTTACATTTTAGAAACTACTATTTTTTTAGAAAATCAATCAATTACTTAAGAAATTCCATTTGGAGACATTTTCAGAGGTCACTGACCATACCCCATGGAAATACGTCACTCTGAACCAGGAAGCAATTCAAGGAGATCCCTATACCAAATAGCTATTTTTACCTTTATTCAGCCTTTGATATGTTACCTCAAGATAATTTTTCTTTTTGAATTTACTTTCAGCTGGCATCTCAAACTCAGGATGGTCAATCTGCAAAAAAAGTAAAGGACAAATATCTCAGTATTCCAGAAACACCAGAAATGTAATAGTACGTTAAATAAATGTTTTTTGTCTCTGTGTCACAGAATATGAAATGTTAATAAATTGTTTTACTGTTGAAAAATGTTTACTAAGTAATTTTTGTTTATCTATCAAAATCTGCATCTCATTTGCAATCCCATTACAAATCTGTGGTGACTGGAATTCTCTTAAATAATAAATACTCTTAAATATTTCTCCACGTGCTGCAAAATCAATAGTACACCACAGTTATTAAACACTTAACATGTACTGTACGTTATTCTAATAGCCACACCCAGAACATGAGAACTAGATCCTTCCACAGTAATGGAAATATACAGTGGTCAAACAGAGGAAATTAGAATAATTAATTCTTCCTCATCTGCTCATTTTTCTGCACTATTGATTGGTTTTGTGTGTGTATCTGTGTAATAGAACTAAGAAAATTAAAGAAAATGTTAGGAAAACTTTTTTCAGAAAAGACCATAGGCTTAACTTGAGCAGGGCTGGATCTCATGAACTGCGCAATTGACTCTTCATTCCCAGCATTTCCAGATAATTCTCTGTCTTTATTTCACTCACCTGAATTACATTGGTCTTGGGATCAGAAGGACTGGGTCCCACATGCACTCTGAAAAAGGGAAAAGTGTTGTATCTGCCCATGAGAATCTGAAGAGTTTCATTAAAATCTTTTGCTTTCCCTATGCCTGTGATGTTCCATCCACCAACCTAGAGGGGAAACAGAGAGAAATTTATTTGATTCATATTTACGAACTTCTGCCACTCCTATGGGCTCAGTCATTATGACAATTGAGAAACAATAAAGCAAATAGCAATAGAAGAAACTCGTGAAGATTTCTACATACCTTCCTTACCTGTAACTTTCACTCAAGCAGCAAACTGCAAGATGACACTGAGAGGGGAGAGAGGTCCACAATAGCTAGTTGATATTAGAATCGTAGAATCACAAGGTTGGAAACGACCTATAAGATCATCTAGTCCAACCGTCTCCTCATCACCATTGCCACCACCAGCACCAAACCACATCACGCAGCTCCTCATCCAGATGCCTCTTGAACACTGCCAGGGACGGTGCTTCCACCACCCCCTGGGCAGCCATTCCAGTGCCTGACCACTCTCTGAGAGAAAAAGTTCTTCCTCATGTCCAACCTAAACCTCCTCTGGTACAACTTGCGGCCATTACCCCGTGTCCTGCTTGTTGCCTGGGAGAAGAGGCCAAATCCCTCTTCACCACAGCCTCCCTTCAGGAAGTTGTACAGTGCAATGAGGTCTCCCCTGAGCCTCCTCTTCTCCAGACTGAACAATCCCAGTTCCCTCAGCCACTCCTCATATTTGTGCTCCAGACCCCTCACAGTTTCGTTGCCCTTCTCTGGACCTGCTCCAGGACCTCAATGTCTTTCCTGTAGTGAGGAGCCCCAAACTGAACACAGCACTCGAGGTGCGGCCTCACCAGAGCTGAGTACAGGGGATGGTCACCTCCCTGCTCCTGCAGGCCACACCATTTCTAATGCAGGCCAGGATGCCGTTGGCCCTTTGGCCACCTGGGCACACTGTGGGCTCATGTTCAGCCGAGCATCAACCAACACCCCCATGTCTTTCTCTTCTTCACACTCATCCAGCCACTCAGCCCCAAGCCTGCAGCGCTGCATGGGGTTGTTGTGCCCAAAGTGCAGGACCCAGCACTTGGCCTTGTTGAACCTCATCCCATTTACCTCAGCCCAGCGATCCAGCCTAAATCCCTCTGCAGGGCCTCCCTGCCCTCAGGCAAATCCACACCACCTCCCAGCTTGGTGTCACCTGCAAAAACTGAGGGTGCACTCAATGCCCTCATCCAGGTCCTCAATAAAAATATTAAGCAAGATGGGCTCCAGCACTGAGCCCCTGTTTTTCCTCACAAGGTGAATATTCTCAGCACACTTTGGAACAGCCCAGCCCGACGCAATACTCACATATTGAAGGGTCACCTCTCCCAAGCTCAAAACTGTTCATCTAAATGAATTGAAAATCAGGCAAAAATGCCAGGTGGCTTGTGTGGATAAACAAGGACCTTCTATACAAACTCAAAACATAAAAAGGAAGCATACAGAGGATGGAAACAAAGACAAATAATCTGGTTACACAGGAAATGAAGAAGGCTGAGATACAACCTTCTTTGACAGAGATTTTACTAGGTCCCACAGACAATGAAGAAAGGCTGGAGCAAGGAAGGTGTACCCTTGGTGGAAGAGAAACAGGTCAGGGAATACTTAGGCAAACTGGACATATGGAAGTCCGTGGGTCCGTGGATGCATCCATGAGTGCTGTGGGAACTGGCAGGTGTTACTGTCAGATCATTCTCAGGAATCGCTGATTGACCATGCAGACTGAGAGAAGTGCCAGAGTATCGGAGGAAAGCAAATGTAATTCCTGTCTTCAGGAAGGGTAAGGAAGAAGACTTAAGGAACTGCAGGCTGGTTACCCTCACCTCAGTTTCTGGGGAGGTGATGGAGCTGCTAATCTGGAAAACATTTCAAGGCACATAAAGAAGAAAATTATCAGGAATAGTTAGCATGGCTTCACCAAGAGGAAGTCATGCTTAACCAATAAGATAAGGTTCCCTAATGAAGTGACTGGCCTAGTAACTGAGGGGAGAGTCATGAATCTTCCTGGACTTCAGTAAAGCTTTCTGACACTACATGAACTTCAGAGTCAAGATGTGAATGAATGAGCTGGATATGCAGACAGGTGAAGTAAATTGAATGAAAACTGGATGAACAGTGGGTCCAGAGTTGCAAAGTCTAGTTGGAAGCCAGTAACTAGCAATATACCCCAGGCATTCTTTCTCGGCGCAGCCTGTTCAACGTCATCATTAACAATATGGATTACGGAGGAGAGTGCGCCCACAGCAAAACTGGGAGCAGTGGCTGATTCACCAGAGGGTCATCCAGAGGGACATGGACAATCTGCAGAAATGGCCTCACAGGAACTTCATGAAGTTCAAAAAGAGGAAATACAAAATTCTGCATGTGGAGAAGAACTGTAAGCACCAATATATCATGAGGGCCACCCAGCTGAAAATCCGTCTGGCAGAAAATGACCTGGAACTCCTGGTAATCACCAAGTTGAACACGATCTAGTAATGTGCCTTTGCTGCAAAGAAGGCTAACAGCATCCTAGACAGAATTAGGAAAAGTATTGCCAGCAGGTCAAGAGAACTGATTCTTTCCCTCTTCTCAGCACTAGTGAAGCCACACCTGAAGTACTGTGCGCTGTTCTGGGCTCTAGAATACAAGAAAGACATGAGCTAATGGAGAGAGTTCAAACAGCCACAAAAATGGTTAAGGGATGCTAGCTTCTTACAAGAAAAGGCCGAGAGGGATGGGACTGTCTAGTGTGGAAAAGAGAAGGCTCAGAACAGATCTTATCAATGTGTATTAATGCACCTGAATGTGCAAAAAGAATGGAATCAGGATTTTCATTTGTGCCCAGTGACAGGACAAGAGACAGTAAGCACAGACCAAAACACAAGAGATTCTGCCTGAACATCAGGAAGTATTTTTTTTTATACTGTGTAGGTTACTGACCACTGGCAAATGTTGTGGAGTCTGTCTCCTTGGAGATATTACGAAAGACATGGTCCTGGGTGATGGCTCTAGATGGCCCTGCTTGAACAAGGAGGTTGGATAAGATGATTTCCAGGGATCCTTTCTAGTCTCAACCATTCTGTCACTCTGTGACACAGTAAAAATGCATTATAATTAACAGTAGAACAGTATACAGGGGGAAAAAAAAAAAAAAAAAAAGAACAAAAAGAAAAAACAGAAAAAACGCTGTGAAGGAAAGAGAAAACAGGACACACTTCTCCAAAGTTATTCATTTTAACAAAAAACATCAGGGATGTAGGGTTCCTCCTCCCTGACAAGAAGACACACAGGATGCCCTGCAGTCATTTTCCTTCAGCTGAAAAGGGTTCTGCATCTTCCTTGGAGAGAGGGAATAAATGTTTTTTGCTAACAGAAAGATGGACAACCTTTCCTGGCACTGGGAGGAATCTCACAGAATGACAAGAGAAGCGTTTTCCTCTCCAAGCAAGGTGTCCTGAAACTTGAAGTAGCAGATGCTCCTCAGATCTCATACACAAGCATTTCACCCATTTTACAAGATGCTCCCTGATCTGTAAGTTGAATCCTACTGAACTGAGCTTTTGAGATTAAAGATGATCTCACTCGGCAGTCTTGGTTGCTGCACATCAGTCCTAGCACACATGGGCATGAGGGCACATTTAGGTATCTGATGGTTGGAAAGCTAAATCTTTAAACAACACTCAAAAACAGATTTCTCTCCTACAAGTTGAGCACTAGCAAAATTTTGTTATATAGGATCACATAGCCTGAACTTCACCCTTTCCTATCCCTTGCAATAATTATCTTATCTTCTGGAGAGAGAAGGAGTAGCACAAACATTCACCTGATTTATGAGGTCCTTCAATAGTTGACTTCCTTGGGATTCTATCCTTTGGGTATCCATGCATGAGCGATAGAACTGGATTGCTTTTTCCTTAGCTGAGCCTCTTATCTCAAAGTGTGGGGCCTCTAAGGAGAAAAAAAATATATATATATATGCGAAAAACTACAAAAGAGCTAATAAAGATGGGCAGTATTAGAACAGAGAAAATTTTTTAAGAGAACATCACCTTTCACTTTGATTCAGACCAATTCAGTAAACACATTCACACTTCTCTAAGTAACCCAAAGCAAGAGAGCTCATGTTTGCCATGACTCTTCCTAAGACCAAATCCATGAGTTTCTTTGCATGGAAACTGATGACAACATGAACATGGAGCATATCTAGGCTTTGGTCTCATATAGAATCAGGACATAGCCTGAGTGCACATTCAGACAGGCACAGCAAAAAGTATCTACTTTTAGAAGGCAGTAAGAAAATGATCTGGTTTCCTGAATTTTAAGGAATGACTTCCATCTGTTAAATTTGGAGAGAAGAACTAAACTGTCTGAAATGTAAGTATTTTAATATGACTTTTCTTATAGGTGTAAATCTCTACTTTCTATGATAGAAGAATGAAAAAAAAAACAAAAACAAAACTGGACTCAGTTCCTGATAGGAATGCTTGGGCACTCAGTTCTTGGTATTCTCATCTCTGACTGAGGAAGATGCTGAAGGTACCACACCAATCACCTCTTCCTACCTAAAAGCCTTTTCAATATCAGCTGGTTTTCTTCCAACAGCACATCAAAGATGTTTTGTGATACTTCTGTGCTTGAGTGTTTGCCTTCCCAGCTGCCACAAGCATATTTGTAGAAATCCTCACAGGGATCTACAGTATCATTCCTAGAATTCAGGAGTCTGGCCAAGAGTGCAAGGCTCGGTTCAACATCACATGATCCTGGGTAGGAAGGAAAAGAGATATCTGAGCAGTGACATTGAAGAATGAGGACAATACATTCAACAACTGGCAGAAAAAAAAAAAAAAAGAAAAAAAAAAAAGGAAGGCAGGGAGGCAGGGAGGCAGGGAGGCAGGGAGGCAGGGAGGGAGGGAGGGAGGGAGGGAGGCAGGGAGGCAGGGAGGGAGGCAGGAAGGAAGGAAGGAAGGAAGGAAGGAAGGAAGGAAGGAAGGAAGGAAGGAAGGAAGGAAGGAAGGGAGGGAGGGAGGGAGGGAGGGAGGGAGGGAGGGAGGGAGGGAGGGAGGGAGCCTTTTCAATATCAGCTGGTTTTCTTCCAACAACACATCAAAGATGTTTCCTGATACTTTTGTGCTTGAGTGTTTGCCTTCCCAGCTGCCACAGTCAAATTTGTGGAAATCCTCACAGGGCACTACAGTGTCATACCTAGAATTTGGGAGTCTGGCCAAGAGTGCCAGAAGAAAAAAGAAAAAAAGAGGAAACTTATAGTAAGATTTCTGTTTGATACAAGCTCCATCTGTTGAACTCCCTGTAAGTTTTTGCTGAGGATGCAATAATATACCCTCTGTCTCTACTTCACACCAAGGCTGCTTTGCACTTTGCAAGGGAGATTGTGTCAGTCAAAGACAGGCAGTTCGTCCAGGGGTGGTGCCCTCCAGTGGTTCCAGCTCGGCAGCCACAGGTTGGATTACTCCGCCTTCTCTCTGTTTTCTCTCAAACAGCACACACTGATTTGCCCAGGCGACAAACAAGGAACTACTGGTGATGTTCACACACAAAGCAAAAGGAGGACATGGTACAAAGAAGGTAAGGAGAGGAGGTTAATGCACGCAGGGAGGTGTTCAAGCATGGGAAACAAACGTTTCTTGGCAATGACAGCTTTTAAACAGGACAAAGACTTGCTTGTGGTGTATCTTGCTTTCATTTAAAACCTCCTTCATCCGGAATACTGTGAACCCAATGGGTGTATGCTCTCACTTAGAGTCAGGGTCTTGTATCGACATCAGATACAACATCAACATCAGCTCTACTATTAAATTAACCACTCACAGATCAAAGCAAGATTTTCATGCTATGGTTTCAAACTGTGGTTTGTTAAAGTGGAAGGAGGTACGCAGAGTGGAAATGGACATGATCTAAGCTAACCACTTTTTCCCTAGTTTCTCTAGTGAACCATTCATGACAGAAGTTGAAGAAAAATGCCTGTCAACCATGCTTGTTTTGGAGTAGGAGATACGTGTACCCACCCATATAAACACAGCCTCAATATTAAGCTATCTGTACACGTCAGCATTTGTGTGGACTGTTCTGCAGGTAGCTTTTTAGTGAATTTGAAAGATAACTGACTATTTCAGGTCTCCACTCACAGCTTCCCCACTGCCCAGGAGAATGTGAGTTTTCTGTATATCAATATAGTGATTGGTATTAGAAAACTAGAACTAGGCTTATTAAATCAAGGATAGACAAGTGGAAGAGAAGCTCTAAATCTCAGATTCAGAGCCAGTTTCCTGGAGCTGACTGCAGACGGAGCAGGGTCATAGAAGCTAGAAGCCAGGATGATGAAATTCAAGAACTTCTTGACAATATAATGCTGCTCTCTCACAAAACTGGGCCCAGGCTTATCAAATGGCAGTCAGAGGAGGACAAGCGGGGGGATATCTCCCTACTATCACACAAGGAGGAGGCAGAACAGTCTACCTTTTTTACAACTGGTACTTTTTTACGCTTCTTTGTCTTTCTGAAAGTCTTACCCTCACACAGACACTGGGCACAATAATCCATGCAGGCAGAGGGAGGAAGAGATCTTAAAAACAGGGTGGATATGGAGTCAGGGAAAAGGATATTCCACATTATACCTGGAGCACAAGTCATCGTGATGTAGGTGATGAGTAATGCAAAACCAAGAAGAGTACTGAGAAGAAGGGCGCACAGAAGTAGGCTTTTCTCCCGAAGACATCGTTCTTTCTTTGTACCTGTTCCCAGCTCCTGGTCACTGGTCTGTAGAGAGAAAAATGAAATGTGCAGAAAAAAGGAAGAAAAGACAACTCATTACATTTAGCACTGGCCATATGCTATGCCTTCTCCCTAAGCTACTAGAAACTCACTATTGACTAGTGCCAGAAGGCTAACAGGAGGCCCAGTCCACTCCCATAGGCTTTGCTTCACGCCCTTTGTTTCCCATTCTCTTCCAAATACAGCAGGTTCCACAGTGCTATGAAATCTGCACCTAAGAACCAGCTTGCCATGAGGAGGCATGTCCTTTCCTAGCTTCTGTTGGTTTACGGAATCACCTTGAATACGCCTCCTGAAGAGACCAAAGCCTATTTGGAGCCCATAAAGCCGATTACAGGATGGTCTGGACTAGTGGTTCTTTATTCTGTTAGTGTGATAATTTGAGTGAACCACAGAATTGCAGGAGCTGGAAGGGACCTCCAGAGATCGTCAAGTCCAACCTCCCTGCCAAGCAGGCCCCCTACAACAGGCTGCACAGGAAAGGTGTCCAGGTGGGTCCTGAATGTCTCCAGAGGAGAATCCACAATCCTCCTGGACAGCCTGTTGAGCACTAATTTCAGATATCTCCTCAAGAAATAGCTCCTGCATCCCAATCAAAAAATCAGAGTATTGTTTGTGTTGGAAGGGACCCTTCAAGGTCATCTGGTCCAGATCCCCTGCAATAAACATAGAGGTCTACAGCTAGACCAAGTTGCTCAGCCTGATGTTGAATGTACCCACGGACAAGACATCCCCACATCTTTGGGCAATCAGTTCCTGTGCTTCGCTACACTTAACACCAAAAACTTCTAAACCTCAATATACAATATAAATGTCCCCTCTTTTAGTATGAAACCATTTCCCCTTGCTCTGCCACAACAGAACTGCTGAAGAGTCTGTCCCCTTCTTTCCTATTGCCCCAGTTTAGATACTGAAAGGGCGCTAGCAGATCTCCCGGGAGTCTTCTCTTTTCCAGGCTGAACAGCCCCAGCTCTTTCATCCTGTCCTCATAGGGGAGGTTCTATCCCTAGCATCACATCTGTGGTCCTCCTCTGGAGGCACCTCAACAGATCCATGTCTCTCTTTTAATGAAGTCCTTGTAGGGGAGTTCAAATCATAGGATCATAGAATCCTAGAAACCTAGAATGGCCTGGGTTGAAAGCAAACACAATGAACATCTAGTTTCAACCCCCCTGCTATGTGCAGGGTCACCAACCACCAGACCAGGCTGCCCAGAGCCACATCCAGCCCGGCCTTGAATGCCTCCAGGGATGGGGCTTCCACAGCCTCCCTGGGCAGCCTGATCCAGTGCATCAATGCCCTCTGTGTGAAAAACTTCCCCCTAATATCTAACCTAAATCTCCCCTGCCTCAGTTTAAAACCATTCCCCCTTGTTCTATCACTACCCACCCTTGAAACAGTCATTGCCCCTCATCTTTATACTCTCCTTACAAATATTGGAAGGCTACAATGAAGTCTCCCTGAAGCCTTCTCTTCTCCAAGCTAAACAAACCCAGCTCTCTCAACCTTTCCTCATAGGAGAGGTGCTCCAGCCCTCTGATCATCTCAGTTCCCTTCCTCTGGACCCGCTCCAAGAGCTCCACGTCCTTCCTGCTCACTGCTTCTATCTATGGGGGATGCTCCAAAAGTAACGCCTCCTCTTGAATTATGTTGTCCCACAATACCAAGAGTGGGGGTTGTTGGTACGGCATTAGAGGCTGAACCTTCGCACCAAGATTCCATTCCAAGATTTTGGTTTTGATCCATCTCTGTAACATTGGTATAACTTTGCCTTCAATAATGTTTGTTTTTTGCATGCATCAGCTAAAGATTATGTAGAACTGTGCTTGTCATCGTGCTTAATATTTATTTAATTTACTGCAAAAACAGGAAACATGGCTATTTACAAAAATAATAAAAGCCTACAAGAAGTAGACATGCTCAGCATGGACTCCTTCCCACATGGAAAGGCTAATAAAATGAACAGCCTGTTCATCATTCTAGAAATGTATTATCATCTCCAGTAATATAATAGTGGACTATGTTTGGACACTGTGTTAGTGATTCCTGTAAAAGCACACTAAGAGAACAGAAAATACAGAAAGAGGTGAGAGTGGGGGGGTGGGAGGAGGAGGGGAATACTATTGTCCAATATTTTTTAAATGTCCATTTATTTAGTCATTAACAGAAACCTGTCAAAAGCAAAAGCATCTTACTTGACTCCTGTAAACTTCTTGCAAAGGTTAAATGCCTAACTGCTTCTGTACCTTTCTAATTCTATTCTGCTGACTCCTTAGGGTCATAAAACACTGTAGCTTTTATTTTCCAAATGGAGACTATGGCAGAGAAGTGAGCAAAAAAAATTTACTTGGCTGAAAAGTAATTACTATGACTTGGCTAACTACTATTTACTTGGCTGAAAAAAATTACTATTCTTCATTGTGTAAGATCTCATCCCTTACCATTTAGGAACAAGTGAATTATTTACATTCACTTTGCTCCTGAATTATCCGTTGCAATAGACTTTCTCATTTTCACATTGGAAATTTTGGCCACCTGTTATAAAGTTATTACCATTTTGCAGTTCTTTATTCTCTGAATACAGCCTAAGCACGGACGAGTAACAGGAAGAGCAAGGAGCTCGAAATCCCCGCACACTGTGGGACAGGGGCAAGACCCTTCTGGATGCAGAGTTCCAAAACTCTGCTGCCCTAATCCTCTAGGCCAGTAACATTAAGAAGCACAGCTGTGACCAGAAAAGAAAGACAAACCCTCCTTACCTCTGGAACAGCCTTCATTCCTGTCACTGAGCAGGCTTTGCCTCTGTGGTTGCCACAGCTGTCAACTGTGCTTACTTGTTTACTATCAGCACTTGCTCTGTGCTCAAGGCACACTGCTGAGTTTAGAGACAATCTCCTCTTCCCAGCTTGGCTGATTGCTGTGGGGAGGAGAAGAGCAAGGAAGAGCTCTGAGGAAAACACCCTTGAAGAAAATGGGAGGGAGGGAAACTGTGACATTTCTGCAATTCTCCACCCACCTTCTCCACCAGAAAATTAGCTGCATTGTTCCCTTCTGCAATTCCTTGTGACCGTGGGTCCTTCTGGTTGTTGGCTCTGTTTGTTTGTTTGTTGGAGTTAGACTGAAATCTGTGTGAAGAAAAGGATGTGTTTCTACGTCTCCCCTCAGCTACTTGCTTCTTTCCTCTCCAATGGCCTTGCTATCCAAGCCTGTTTGGGTCTGATATTTTCCCTGCTCTCAGCCTGCTCAACCTGATGTCCCACGGACTGGAGGCCTCTGTCTATAGCGAGATGCTGTGGGCTATGGATACTATTGTTCCTCCTCTTCCAAAAGAAAGGCCGACGTGCTGACTTGGATTTGGCTCTCTCTGATCTGCAGCAGTGCATTCCAGCGGCGAACGCAGGTCCAGGTTCTTTTTCTTTATTGTTATTTTTAACTGAGATGCACAAAAACCACATTGATCGTTGACTCTGTTTACATTGATGGCAGCCTGTGTGTCTTTGCTTCCTGAAGAATATGTACTGGAAAGATTTAGGAGGGCAGCTTATTTACTTCAAATAGTATGAGATAGAATCACTTCCCAGAGGCATTAAAAAGAGGGTAATGGAAGCTGGGAGTTGAGACCGGATCGTGTGGAAGCTGGGAGTTGAGGGGGATGGTCAGAGCAGTTTGCTATCTGCTTCCAAAAGGACTGATAGCACAGAATCTTTCACAGCAGTATGCAGTTTGTTAATCCGTCTTCTGTATGTGTCTGAATTCCCCATCTTCCTAATGAGAGCATCTAACAGCTCTCAGGCTTTAGGTAGTGAAGATATATTTACATTTACCTTCTAAGCTGTATAAAATTTCTGGACAGAGGAGAGGAGAGGAGAGGAGAGGAGAGGAGAGGAGAGGAGAGGAGAGGAGAGGAGAGGAGAGGAGAGGAGAGGAGAGGAGAGGAGAGGAGAGGAGAGGAGAGGAGAGGAGAGGAGAGGAGAGGAGAGGAGAGGAGAGGAGAGGAGAGGAGAGGAGAGGAGAGGAGAGGAGAGTCAGGGATTCTGTCACAGAGCAAAAAGCTAGAGGCCTTCTGACTAGCTTGTGAACTCAGGAGAGCAGAGCTGTCATCTGTGCTGTACAGATAAGAAGGGAATCAGTCGATAAGGATTACTTGTGACGTCACTCCAACATGTACTGCCAATCCCTCTTCCTTCCTCAGTGATTAGACAAAGTTTACAGAGAAACTTTTTGTCTTTTCTTTCCGTAGTTGATAAGAGTGTCTTCAAGTAAACTTGCACGTTACTAGGAGAAAACAACTTCATAATGTAAAAGCACCATATTAATATATGCATGAATACATATTTAGCTCTCTAGATTCTCCGAGTTCTAGAGGTTGCATATTCAATAAAACATGCATGCAAACATGCAGTCTCCTCCAAGACAGACTTTTCTCAAAATGCGAATGCATATAAGGACAGTCCAATGTCCGGTGGCATGTGACAGAATGAAAACTTGCATATCCGTCTGATAGCGTGGAAAACGTAGGGTATGCTTACATGGCTTACTGCTGCCGGATAAATACGTGTTTTGTCCCTATCCGGAATTTGCTGAAGAAAGAAAGTCTACCTGAAAAGGC